AAAAAATGATTATATAATATTAAAATTTAATAATAATGGCTTCAAAACTTACCAAAGTTTTTCATACAGCAAATAATAAACGTTAAATCGACACAAAAAAAAACTCTATAAAGCACTTATAAATATGTAGACTGATATTCTTATTCAGCATCTCTTTAGTTTAACAAAATACCACAATTTGTCTTCTGCTAGCTATTCACATATTTTTCATTTAATTTTAAACCATTATGATGTCTTAATTACAAGCGGGTAATAAATTTTCGTGTTAAGAAGTTCAAACTCAAGTTTGCACTTTCTCTAACACAATTGAGAACACTTAACGTTAACTACAAGTATTTACAATGCTGCAGAAATATAATACACACACACACACACAAAAAAAAGTTTATTAGCAGACATATGTATGTTTATGCAATATATTAGTTGTACTACAAATTGTGCATTTTCCGAAGAATCTAAGCTTCTATGCATGTGAAGGCAATTTGAAAACCGCTCATAACCGCGCGTTTGCAGCCAAGCGGGCTATGCATTTCTTTGTGTGAACATATGTACATCTGTAGCAACAAATGCATCACATGTACATATGTGTGTATGTGTCTTGTTGTAAGTTATAAGTACTTCCAAGTACTGGCATTGCCAAGAGGCGTCTGTCTGCGCGCTTCATTAAAATTTACTGCATAATTGCCTTTGATTGATTTGTGTGCACTTTGCACAGACACAAAGGCGAAAATAAATAAGAGAAATAATAGAAAATCATATAATATCATAAAATAGCGATTACATAGTAGCACAACAAGCCAGACAAACAGTTATATGAAATACTTATTTTTTACTGTAAACCCAGTCTGAAAATGACGGAGGCAGCATAAATTGTGTAGTAGAAAATATATATGTTGGTGCTAGGTCTCTCTTTATTGTTGAGTTTTACTGAGTGTAAGTCGTGCAGTAGATGTTTTTGTTTACGATGTTTCCAGTTAGAAACACCTTTTATTTAAAATTCTATGATTAGCTCTCCATAATGTAATGTAATGTTTACCTCTCAGCGAACGAGGTCGAAAGTTGAGATAAGCGGCTGTTCCAAATCATTGAGCAGTTTCTTGTGGAGAAAATGGTGTGTGCGAAATTTCAGATTGATACATCAAAAGCTGAGGGAGTATTCCTCAACTGTAACCCTTAAGAATCGAAGTAAAAGCTGAATGACTTTAGTTATGATCTTTTTAACGAACCAGTCACTACTCTAAAACTTATAACACACGCAAGTACGCAACTATTGAACTTGGTATTGGGAGTGTGGCATGCAATAGATATACATATGTAAGTATGTATATTCATAAGCAAAATATAGCTCCCGTAACATCAGTATTAGGAATGCGCCGCTGCGAGCATAGCTTGCGTACTTTGGACGGATGTTTCATAAAAAAAAAGTTAATTAAGAATTATATACATATCTATATATACATACATATGTTGCAAAACGAAAAGAGTGCAACAGAACCAGACACTCGAAGTTTATTCATATGTGGTTTGTAGACTGAATGGTCGCTTCAATTAAAGCCACCACTTCAACATAACTAAGCATGAGTTATGCTTTAGCATTATTCTACAATTAAAAAGTTAGAGTGAACATTCCAATGCAGCGTTAACCTTGAACCATTTTTGTTTAACCTTTATACAATATATATACTATATTATATTATATGGTATATTTTACAAATAGAAAGTAGACGTTAAACAGAGAGTATGTGAGAAAGTAGTTGAACTAAAATACCACGAAGTTTAGAATCATTAGTATTGATCTCGAGAAGTTAGACCATATAAATGGCTGCAAGACTTACAGCGGTAGATTTTAGGTATTAGTAATAACAATATTATGGTTGCTTTTATATGCATATTTGAAGGATTAGTTAAAAAATGAAAATATCGTTTGGGTCAAGCATACAGTGTGAGCCATAGAATAAAAATCCTTAGTTAATAAGTTATGCACTGCATCATATTGTCTATTGTGTCCTCTAATCATTCAAAAAGACTCACATAGGCCCAGCACCCTATAAATTCAAGGATCATGCTAGGCGTCAACTGGATGATGCGCTTTTTGCTGGGATATGTGAATCCCAGGGCCTTATTTCTGCGTCTACAGATTGCTCATGCTAAAGCGGCTACTAGAAATCTGGAACTAGAAAACTCCGATTAGTCACTTTCAATATTGTTCAACGTTAACATATCAACACCAAAGAAGGCTCACCCTGTATATATAAAAAAAAATATATAAATATTACATAGATATATGGAGCGTTTCATCTGACTCGAAAATTTTGACTGGCAATTGACATTTTGTTGTTTGTGTTCTCTACACTTGCTTTTGAGCAATTCGCCACTTTACCATGCTAACAGCTTGTAGCGTGTACAGGATTCTGTATGGTTGCTTGCCAATTCCGTCTATCAGTTTACCAGTTCTTTAACACTACAGGCACTTATTACTTGCAACAGCGGCACGCAACAAATTTATGCATTTATTTTACGTTGCGAGTGCGCTACGCAATTGCTGCCACAACAGTGGGCCGTTTATATGATACGTTGCAACCACAAAGAAATAAAAAATAAAAGCTAGTACAACAAATGTTACACTCGGTGCACGTGGCGGTCGTGGTTGCAAGTTCCACTGCAGTTGTGTAAAGGCGTGAATTGCTGGGGTTTGAGGTGTTGGTCTGCACGCATACACATTTACTGTTATGTCGAGTGCATAGGCGTGTAAGCAGATATGAAAACATAAAGATTCGTGTAAACTCAGCGATGTTGCACTTTTATCGCGGTGGATAAAAACACGTTTTCCTATTATTGTTGCTGTTGTTATTGTGGCTGCATTTGCTTGTAGCATTTATGTCGACAATTTTTTCCTAGCACTCACGCATTTGTTGTCACACTTGTGGTTGTGCGTTAACATATGTATGTACATGCATATTTATAGGCGCTTAAATATCGTTTTGTGTGTACGTGCGCTAGTGTTGGTGACAATTAATTTTTGTCAGTTGCTGAAGATTTATTTTTCAAGGGCTTTAGGTCATTTTGATAGGCGCACTTTTCTTGTCACGCATGTACATATGTTTTTTTTTATATATTTGAATATTTATTATGTGTTATTGTGTTTGTAAACATGCTTTGCCAATACAATAAAAATAATACAATAACAATAAAAACGTTTAAAAGTTTTAAAATTAATTCACTTAGCATGTTAGACAGTTGTTTATGTCTTGTTATTCGCCTCTCAATTTTTCATCATTATGCGCTATTAATCATCTATATGCTCACATACATACATACGTATACCTATATATGTGAACACCCCAACTTGTCGCCAGGCGCCATCGTTTGTCTTGCATCTGTTTTGACTGCATTTTAATTGCAGCTATAAAACTTAAGCGAACTTGTGATTACAAAAACAAAAAGGTCATAAAACGAGTCTTTAGCTGAAAACTTTCCACTTTATTGCTTTACGTACATATTTACATACATATGTGCATAGTTTGCTGTTAAAAAGCTAATAAAAGCAAACGAAAATGCTCCGCACCCATTCTCTCTGTGAAAGGTTTTTCTTGTAGTTTTTCATTGCTATTTTACCTTTTGGCCTTTCGATTTTTCATTCTGATGCTCTGTTATGGCTGTCAGCATAGCACTCATTTTGCCTGTATGATCCTCAATGCCAACATTTTATTATTTCGGTCGTAAAAACGCAATCAGGCGATCATCAATGACCAGTATTTTTCATTAAATGTTGAGTCCATAAAACGATAACTTTTCTATTAACTGACGCGTTTTTATGGTTCAATGAAATGTGTTGATATTTATTTGTATGTATGTTGAGGTATCACAAAACTGAACTTAAAAACTATATATTAATGAACTTAAATGGGGTTAGCGTTTATTGAAATTGCTTTCAAGACCACCGTGATTTGTAGATATTGGTTGTAAATAAGTGAGTTTTATTAAATAATAAAGGTAGTAATGAAGATAGTTTTTTACTTTATGACCTAGCTTCTCAAATAATAACTCCATCACAGACCCTTAGAACTATGCAACAATATGACAACAACTGATTTTAGACGACCTTCACGAAATTCATATTGGAGTGATCTACGATCTCGATTGAATTTAACATCGATAAACACTGGTCTTTGATGGAGCTTCATCGTCAAAAATGTAAGTTAAGTTCAACGGTGCACTGTTGCTGAGTTAATCCACGTCGAAAGTTGTAAAAAATAATTATAATCGCGTGTAAACGTTCGCGATATATTTACATTTTTTGGCCGAGATGAATATTTTAAGTTACTGTAAACAACAATAATAGCGCTTGTATGTCGAAACGTTCTGAGTATATATTGGCATAAAATGCCATGAGTTGTCAGATGGCAAAACTATGGTTGCCAAATCCCGAAATATAAAAGGCAACATACTCAAATTATCTGCATTGTTTACTCGCTCTACTTGCTATTATGACGAGAGCAAATGCCGATATACTTGTAGTCTAAATACCTAATTAAGAACTAATCTGCAAAATGAGCTCGGTCAGATAGTGCCTAACCATTTTTTGGTTATTGTTTGGTAGGTGGGCTGAGAGTATGATGGGGACGAGGGTAAGTTCAACAACACGGTACCTAATTTATACCCTGTGTAGATTAAGTTCGCCACGAAGTTTGAAACACCCAGGAAATGTCAGATCCCCATGAAGTATATATATAAATGATTAGCGTGATGAACTTCATCTATACCAAAATTATAACTCATTTAGTGAACATTTCATACCTGCAACTCAACAAACCGAAAGTACACAACAATAACTTCAACATAGTTAATTAAAATACTTTCACAACTGGATGTTGCACATTTATGCATACCGTCGAAATCATTTACAAACACAAATCACACATTCGAATTAAAAAGCTATTATATCCAATTAGTGCTGATGCCGTAGAGGAGAAACCAAGTTAATTGAAAACAGTTGCAAGTTACGCTAATCAGAGTTGTTGTTTATTGCCATATAAAAATACACATAAAACCTTGCCACACACACACATACCATATGCATACAAACAGATGTTGCATGTAACAGACCATATTACAAAACTAGTTCGCTTTTGCCCCACTGTTATGCTGTTATGTTAAATATGTATGTTTGTTTGTATGTATGTACGTAAGCTTCATTTTCTAGCGCAAAGAAGCACGTTTAACATTTAGCGTTTGCCATAAATTTCCACAGTTGAGTTAATACCACGATTATATTGACTCTTCAAATTGAGGGAAACAAAACGATAGCCAACACCGCCGGACCACAGGCTGGCATAAGCGCCGGAGCTGTTGGTGAAACGGTCAATAACGGAAATAGCTGAAATTGTGCGGGTGTTGGTTTGGCCCTGTAGCGGTGTTAAGGAAAGTGTGGAAGAAAAAACGTTCAGTTATTAGAAGTGTTTACGACAGTATTTTAGTACGTTTCGCACTCACCGATTTTGGGTAATCCACGGTGACACTTTGGTAGCCATTTTTAAGTGGTGAACGCACAACAATCTCACGTAACAATAATATATTCGTGCTATTAGGTTTACCCCACGAGCTATTGGCTGCAATCGCCACACCAGCTAAGGCGACAAGCAAGAAGAGAACGCTAGTGACTGACGGCTTCATGTGGATTTTTGGTTAATTTCTTTATTAAACAGAGTTTATTATTTGTTTCTATTGCAGGCGCAAAAAGCGTTAAGTTAATACTGTGATTGTGCAACAGCAACTAGTTGGCCTTTTATAAGTCAATTGATTGGTGATATTTGCTGGAAACACACACACGTACACCCCTTATCGTTCATCATTAAGATAACAGCTTTTATTTTGTTATTGCTATTTTACCAGCTTTAGTTTATGTTTGCTTTCAGGTGTGAATATATGAAAGTGAGATATTTTGATTTAAAATTTTGACTTCCACATATGCACACACATACAGCGCTTATCAGTTCTAAGAAAAAAAAAACATATATATATGTGGTCTAGTGCTATTCCATTTTATTAGCTACTTCTAAGTAGCGAAATGCTGGCTGGTTTGGCTCTTGATAAGCGAGTGTGAAGGAAAAAGTTTAATGATCACACACGTGCATACATACATATATGTATATATAACCATATACTTATAGATAGGTTCTTGAAGAGTTTACAGCTGTTACGACTGTGCTTCTAAGTTGCAATAATTATTATTATTGGAAATTGATTGAGCATCGCATAGTTCGCACACTTATCTAATTATTGGGACTCAGTTGTCTACATTTGTTTTTTCCTCCGCTCGCTATTATCTACCTCCTATATCACGTATATACAAACTCACGTAATATGTAATCTGAGTTGGTTGCCTGATAAGCAAAGTATCAAATCAATTTAAATTAGTTATTAAGTAAGTTCGATACTATAAATTAGCAAACATATGACTAAAGCCTATTTATAGCTACCAATATGTTTATGATGGCGAAGGCCGTAGTTGTGCAGAATATGAATGAAGCAAACACACAATGAAGTATAAGTTCGTTATCTATAGTAGAAAGTTTTGGACATTTTGCGAGCATGGTGGTTCTCAATATACAATTGTTAACTAGAAGTGATTTCCGAAAAAATACAATCTTTATAAAGCTCCGTTAGCCGTTGAAATGAGCTTAAAGTTTTTAGTAGTCTATGCTCACCCACCATCCATCCATCCACCCCAATTACTGACTAACACTAAAAAGTGTTTTTAATATGAAACAAAGATCTGTGCCAATTTTTGTTGGGCAAAAGCCCATGAGAATAGTTCGTAAAAAGTGTCTTAGAAGACGCTACTTCTAGACAACATCTAAAATGTTTTCTAATATGAGCGCTCTCAGAAAGCCGGTTAGAAAGATTTATGCGAATTTATGTTCTGCAAAAGCTTATGAGAAAAGCTCTTAAAAAGCTCTAGCTAGCACTAAAATGGGTTTCTAACATGATTGCACTTAAGAAATCGTTAACAAAGTTTGGAGAGTATTTTTTTCTTGCGAAAGCTCTAAAAGAAAGCAGGTTTGTAAGAATACAGTGCGCACTGCCAAACACTTGGCTAAGCAATAACTAAGCGCAAATACTTGTATTCCCATACATATTATATATTATTGAAAGGAATTGGTTATAGTGTAGTACAAATGATAAGATGCACAAGCGATGTGAAAGCCAGCACCAGTTGAGGCACCTGATTTTATACGTCAGATTTCAGAAAATATTAAATTTTATAAAAATATTATTACAATTTTTCTATAGCCCCTTAACCTTTAAAGTATAATTTGGAACTTTTTGTTCAATCTTTAAAATAATTATCAATACTTTCGCTATTTTGGAATATTTTTTTTTTCAATTATGCATAGTGTGTTTGAAATTCAAATCAATTTGTGCACACCAGTAATTTCTATAAAGTGCTTTAAATATATAAGATATTATTAATAAGCAAATATTTCAGAATTTATTTATAGATATTGTTTCTTAGATGATCGTTTTATCTCATAATATAATGAGGTAATTAAGAATCATACTCAGAAAACTCAGCTGGACTATATGTAAATAGTATACCATATACTGCTGTTATCTCATACAAATTTTTTGTTTCATTTCATTTTAATTTAATTTTTTGTTTTTGTAATGATGATTCCAGCATCAAAATTTCTCTGTTTCTACCTATTTCGGTTTATTTTACTCGCTTAGTTCGCGTTTAATCTCTTGTTTCATTCACAAATCTCGTGGATTGCTGATAAGACTTTTCTACTTCTCGATGTACATACGTTCTTTATAGGAAAAATGTGAAATTTTTTAAAATTTGTCGAGTATATACTACATTGGATGCTGATAGAAAAATTTATATAAAGTAAATACTGTTTTTCGGAGTAAGTAAATAGTTTACAGTTTTCATAAAATGACAACAGAAGTAACAGGACAGTCTTTTTTTCAATTTCGAACCTTGCATTTTTGGAATTATCCAGTCAACAACATTCGCTCTGTTGAAATCATTTTTGTAAATCTCCTTTGAATTCCAGAAATTTTAAGTTTTTAAAAAAAAAATCAGAAAAATTTCTCGCAGTGTTTTTTAAGCACTAGAAAATGAAATGTCCGGCTTAACGGAAATGCTGAAACTGGAACTGGCGTTTCGAGAAAACGAATGGAATTCGCTTGGAACACATCAAAGTCGTGTAGAATTCACAATCGAATTCAGTACGAAACACGTTGTCTTCATCGACAGAACAGAATTAGCAAACCGCGCTTCAACAAATTCAATACAAAATTCAAATGCGAAAATTTAGCTGAAATTCATATAGAAAACAACAACTATAATAATAGACCAAACATATTGTTGTTGTAAATATAAAACGTTTCGGTGCGTATTAAGCCATTGATAAGCGTGGAGCAATAACACGAGACCAATAAACCCTATCTACAGCGATTGTTTTAAAAATAGCTTGTGACAAGAAGAAGATAATTTGTTACACAAAAACAAAAACCAACAAATAAACGAAAATAGAAACTGTAATCACACAACAATTGGATCGAATTTAAAGTTTGAATTTTGATTTCGAAAAGCCAAGACGCACTCTTAACGATGAAGCAACAGAGTAATCTACTAAAACTATCGACTGCTTTAACGATTGCGGCCTATGTTATAACGACCACGTATGCCATCTCGAGTACATGGGGCAACATCTCGAATTCTGCGCAGTTGTTGCACGTGGAGGATGTTTTCAATGCGTCATCGCCTGGCAAATATGTGAATCGTGAAATTAAATTTCCCAAAAATGTAAGGAAGCTACGACTATCGCATGCCTTTAAGGTTATGAGAGCAAAGTGAAGTTAATTGTGGTTGTTGTGGTGGGGAAACTGTGCAAATCTATGCTGATATTAGGTTGAGAATATCAATCGCATGCGTCATTTAGTTAATTTTTGGAATTTTCACAATAGACGGTACTTGCAGAAGGGGATTTTTCGCCTTATCTTTATCAGTGGTGCTTATCTAATCTCTAATAAAAATCGATTTGCACCTACTTGCGAAATAGGCATTACTAAATGTGCAGTGTTTTTCGCACGACGTAATCTTAAACCGGTGATACAATAATTATCTCGCCCCGTTGGCCAAAGTTGATCTCCTCCTATCATTTTTCTGCGTGGTTTTGGTAGAGCTACAAAACAAACCAAAAAAAAAAAAAAAAACAATTATAGCAAGTGCGCTAAGCGAAATTTCGCACGGAAACCGCGGTCAGTTTTAGACGCTTATATTACATATGTGTATAGAGTCGTTGCTCAAAGGTCCAATTTTTTTCACAAAATGTGAATATAAATTTTTCAACATTCTTTGATTTACTCTCCAATTTTAACGCTTTCATTTTCTTCAACATAATTATATGGAGACTTATATACTGTTTAAGTATTCTTCTTCTTCTTCGTATATTTTTTTGTGAAATTGCGCACCGGAAATATTTCGCAAAAGTCGGTTGCCCTGATAAGCTACGCAGTGGTGGCGATTCTAAAGCTTGGAGAGGTTTTACACATGCGATTCATAAACTTATATTAATATATACATATGAAGAATATATATTTTGTTTCAAATTTAATACAACATATTGGAAATGCAAAACTTAATCAAGCAAAGCGAAAGTCAGGCTTCAAAATGTTGATCAAAAAACAAATTTTACTCGAAATTTAAGAATAAATTTAATAAAAAATGTGACAAAAATTTGGTGGCTGCTCTAATATTATAAAACATATATACGAAACTATGCTGCTGCCACTAAATCCGCCTTGACCGCAAGGTCAGCACGTTTTGCGAATTTTTTCATATTTTCTGTTTTTTTGCCAAAAGTATAAATAGTTGCTATAGCAAACGATAAGAATTGTATGCGAGGACCTATCGTGAAATTAAAAGCAAATTTGAATTAAAGTTTCGAACGCATTGAAAGCAATAAAATATCAGCTTGGAATTATTTCGTTTTTGTTATGAAGCCTACCAGACGATATCAGAAAAGATAATATTGTTAGTGTTTCTTATTTTGCGAAATACAATATTTTATTCTATGATCGTCGTATTAGCCAGCTCTCCCTGTTCAATGCGAGAAACTTGAAAGAGCATAGAAAGACAACTCAGGTGTATGGGGGCGTAGCCATAGACCTTGCGGATATTGACCTTGAAACAACCAGAGCGTATAGTGACTAGTTTTAAATATAGATTATTTACTTTTTGTTGATTTTAAAAAATTTTATATAAGATTAGCTTTAAAAAAATAACGTTTCACACTGCATCTAACACTTGTGACTAACAGCATATTATCTCAGGTGTCTGGCAACTGGGATATATAAGTATAAGAAAGTATACATTGCTAATATATTTCCAATGAGCCTGCTAAGTTATGCTCAGGTTTTAGAGAACACACCGATTGCATGACGATTAAATTTTTGTTATTTTTGGGAAAAGCTTTTGAAACGACAGCCCTTAAATATACACAAATAATAACCAATTCACTCTGGTTATTAATAATTTAATATTAAATATTAATTTCAAAACATTGTCAGATATATACAAATACCAGCCTTAAGTCAACAGCGTTAACAATTGTTTTGAGAAAAGCTAGAAAATATAGAAATACTCCAAAAAAGTTTCAGTATATGCCGTACTTCCAAAGTTTTCATAACAGTTTCCGTCCAGCAATGAACATGCAACTTAACTTCGACTTTCCACAATTCGCGCTTTACTCAAAAGCATTTTTTTGAAATCACTTATATTTATTTAAATAACAATTTGCTTCAATTCCATTAAATCTTCGATTATTCAGGGCGTTGGCAATGGACGCATCATCACCGGCATACGCGCCTTCGATCAGGTGACAAATGGCACCGGTGGCCACGCCACCATATACTCGGGTGGACCCGGTTTCAATAATGTTACCATCAAGTTGCAATCACAATACAATTATGGACTAATGTTTCGAGTGGAAATCTACGGCCAATAAGCAATACATAGCAATACACACGAATACATACAAACATAATTCACCAACATACTTCCTTTATTTAGTAATAATTGTTGTTTTTTTTAACATCTTTGTTTGTAACTAACGATAGATTACTTATTACTAGTAAAACTAAGCAAATTACACAAACAACTCAGACGAAAAGAAAAAACAAATCCAAAGCGCACAAGAAATTAATGAGCTATGTCTTTTAATATTAAACTTTTTAGATAAGAAATTAAACACGTATGCTAGTATGTGTGTATAAAACGAAAATAAAATAAATAAATATTAAATAAGAATATGTTTAATAAAGTTATGTCTTTGAAGCTGTTTATATCCATACAACAAACAATTCCATATGGTTATGAATGTGCTGGGATATTAACAACAAGTATTTCTTATATTATTTCAAAAATGTTGCCGAGCTGACAATTTTTCAATGCTCTTACGTAGGCGTATCTATGCTGTGGACATGGAAATTAAAAAAAAAATTTGACAAAACCTAAAAAGAGAGTTCAACACCAGCAATTGAATATATTTATAAAAGCATAATGTTTTAGAGCTTCCATTATATAGTGACAGCTTGATTTGGACACTTGACGAATACATGCGAAATCGAAGAAGAAAGTTCAACGCGAGCAATCGAATATGTTATAAAAAAAAATTGTGCAGAGCTTTCATTATGTTGTGAAAGTTTCATTTGGATAATGCACGAATGACGACCAGGGAAATTTCCATGCCCCAAAAGAAAAGCTGACGCCACTATTTGCGGGATTTTCGCAGAAAACAATAACTCGATGCATACTGGTCCGCCCGGTTAACACCACCCATATATTTTGTACAGTTTAATACAATGTTGGGTTTCTCGACCATTATATCCACACCACCTCGTGTAATTCTTTTGACCGTCGTCATTCCTGTGTCACCCTTTGTAGTCAAACAAGTGACAACCCTCTTGTTCTTCTGGTCGGACGCAGCAAATTGGAACACCATCACTATTGTATTTTGTTTATGATGTCATCATCTTACTTATATATAACAATAATTAATTTCATTTACTTTTGGCTAAAAGACTTTAAAATATAAGAGCTCATAAGTTTAAATTTTATTATTTGAAGGAGCAAAAACTGTTCAAAAAATGCTCTTATGGAGTAATCTTAAGGCAAAATATTCTTTATGAAATAGTTAGTATACTCTGTTTATAAAAAACCTTTACACTTTTGACTTTGAAGTTTTTCGTATTCAGAATTAAAGTTGAGATAGATTTCTGTCAACTGCTAAAAGAGTTTCTGGAAAAGCCTATTTTAATGACTTTTGACCAATATTTTGTGATCTATAGTGTCATCTAAGCCTATAGAGAGTTATAATCACTATAAAAATAGTTATAATTTCTGTAATTAATTAAAAAATAATATTTATAATACCACTCATAGATACAAAAGATTCCATCCAAGGACTTGATTTTGATAGGTCTGTTTGTAAGGCAGTTATATGCTATAGTTATCCGACCAAACAATTACATCGGAGATTATAACGTTCCCTTAAACACTAATCCATGCCAAATTTCGTGATGGTATCTAGTCAATTAAAACAGTTTTACATACGAGGACTTAATTTTGATCGTTCGGTATCTATGGCAGATAATAATTCGAAGACCTTTTTAAGTAGAAAAGGAAGTGCGCACAATTTCAGATCGATATCTTGAAAATTGAGGGACTACTAGGCATGTATACAGACAGACAGACAGACAGACAGACGAGTAGACCGACATAGCTAAATCGACTAAGCTCGCCATGTTGATCATTTATATATTACATATATATATATTTGTGTATATATAAATATATATATTTATTTATTTTATAGGGTCTCCGACATTTTCTCTTGAGTATTACAAACTTCATGCCAAACTTCAGGGTATAAAAACACTTTTGTTCGGCCAGATGTGTAACTAAGAAGTCTTTTGTTTATTGTCGAAATTAAACACCGTTTAGTTAAATGTGATTTTCATATATGTACAACAACAAATCAACTCATATACACATACATAAAAACTCAGGTGTGTGTGTGTGTTTGTAAACTTTTAATTAATCACAGAATTGTTTTATACTTTCAGCTCTTTAGTTGTTGTTTAAACAGTTGGCACTCATTTTATTTTTATAAACAAGTTCGCTTTCCATTTAACAAATTTCTTCCGTCTTTCATTTAACACAATATTCGCTTAATTGCCGAACACTTCAACTGTGTAGTTCAGGCCATGGTTGCGGTCCGATTTAACATGCAGGGTTACGTTGCGAAAGCCGGGACCACCTTTGCGCAGTTGCACATAGCCGCCATCCTTGCGCTTGTGATCCACAGCCACCACCTGGGTGATGTAGTAGGGATTGTAAGCGTTCTGTAACAAAAAAAAAAGCATGCAACATATTTATAGCAATTCAATAAAATTATTTCTCTTGTAGTTAGAGAGAATGAAAATGTTTCACTATATGGTATTTACCTTGCGGGGAAATTCCACATCCACCGATATTACGCGCCACAAGGCGGACTTCTTGACCACCTGTGTGCGGTAGAGCAGACGATCGTAGCGTCCACGCTGACCCCAAGTGGTGTTGGTGGCAATGCTGGTGGCGACCAACGCGGCCAAGACGCCGAAGGCGATGAGCGCTATTGTTGTGCGTGCTTTCATTGTTATTATTACTTATTTATTGTTGTTTAATATTTATTAATTTTTAATTATTTCTGTGATACTTGCGTATAGTTCGACCGCTGGTAAGTTACTGTTAAGTTACCCACCAATAACTGTCGCTTTTATATACATATTTACACACTGATTGTTTTTCACACCCTCCCAACCACATATGCATGTAATTGTGTGTGTGAGCACACTTATTGGTTTAGCCACTTGAAGCGCTCTTAAGTTCTGATCTAGTGTGTGATAATAATTTTGTTTACCATGCTCTATCGATTCCATTGAAATTTTACGATAATCATTTGCCAATTTGTTTGTTCTTTTAATTTGTTGTTGGTTTATCAAATTAAATTTTGTAGTTTTTGCTATAAAACTACAATATATATATATTATGTCTGGTTGGAAAGTAATCAATTTGCTTTAGTGAATCATTTGTCATTGTAAAACTTGCAGCGTCGCAAGTTATCTTATCAACCTGTGCTCTTGTGTACATAAATGCTTACATACATACATGTATATGTATATATCTATTACCTGTGGCAGTGGATTCTTGCGTGAATTCCTGAAGTGATTTTTTATAATTTTTTATAATTATCTGAAGTAGCACCCTGTTCGAAATTTTTTGCTCTTAATGCTGGCATTTGCGCCTAAAATTATGTATTGTCAAGAATTTGAGTAAACGTGATTCGTGACTCATTACGTTTTTCCCTTTAAAGTACTTTAAAGAACGGAAATTGTACTTAAGTAGTTATGATGGTAATAAAGATAGGTGTGTTCTTGAACTGCTTGTTATGGTTCAAGTTTATTTACGTAGATAAAGTTTTTAATACTTTAATAAGCCGTTGAAATATAGTGATAAATACGGAAGTAAAGTATCGATAACGAAAAAAATTCCAAACTACAGTATTATTCCGTATTATTAATACTTAAAATGTAAATTTGTTTTGTTGTTTTTTTTAGCTGTTGCAAGTTGCCTTTAGAACGATCTTTATTTCATATTTGGCTTCCTAATATATCACGAAATTTCACCTCATCCTGCAAACGGTACTGAGAATCTTAATATTTCTGTTCATTTTGCTGAAACTGAGTATTGGTTGCAAATTTGTTTTAATAGTACTGGGATCCGAATACGAAAAATAACTCTCTCGGCTATGTTAAAGAGAACCCAGAGCATCCTTCAAGTTTTACGCTGTCTTTGAACAGTAGACTGATTGTAAGATAAGTCCGAAATATACTCCTAATTTTTCTTATATTATCTTCGAAATTTGTTTCCAAAATCTTAGATAATAACTTTCAAAATCGATTTTGGTTTCAAGTATTGAATTACTCCAACGGTTTGTTTGAAAATTATTTGATTTAAAAATTTTGTGTTTGATTTGTATTTCATGGCATTTTTATGCAATATTTACCTCAGATTTTTTTTGACATTCAACTACAAATCTTGTTATATTAATGTCACCCCTAATCACAATGATATGTTCCAATAAATATCAGCTATACGTTAACAGAATAAACTAATTTTGTTTAGCAAGCCAAGTACTGTCAACTCGGTAGCATTCCCCTTAGAGAATGTTTTAGGATTATATAATAACAAAACCAATAATATATGATTGAAAAAAGACAGTTTCCACGACAATCAGGTCTACGTAATCGGAATATACCTGCATTTTCAATCGGACAAGAACTGTCCAATCAGAATTATTACATGCAGATTAGGGTTCAAATATTTCTTTTATTAGAAAAATTCATATTCATATCATAATCGTAAAGTCGCTTCATTGCAAATAATTCACCAAGCATATGATAATCTCTAAATTATTCGTATATCAAGTGAGAGTTTTAATCGTAATAATGTTTAGACAAACGATTGACCCCGAGCCTATCTTGTTTCAAATCCTCTCAAATCACGGAACCACGGACAAATAGGCTATACATTTCAAAACATCATTTCAAGTGCAGACATACAAATCTACAAATACGTGGCATTTAAGAATTTACTCAAATAAATATAACATTTCAACACTTCTATTTTCTTTCGCTGGTAAATACATCATTATAGCTATCTATGATTATTTTATGATTTTCCAGTGCTCATCATTTTGATGCATCTTATCAATGATTCTGCAAATATTTCGTATTCCGAAACCACAAAATCTGTTTGCAAATTGAAAATTTTCAAGTAGCAGCAGCAGATGTTCAGCAATCTGCCCAACCATTTGCTACTATGTATAGACCAAGTTGCAATGCAATGTTTGCACATATGTATATAAGTATGTGTGCATTCTTGGCAGTGGAAAAATATTTGCAAATTCACAACAAAGGTTTGTTTGCCGAAAACCGCAACATTGTGCCACTTCACTTGCAACTTGCTAGAGTCTTACAGCTTGCGTGCGAGTGTGTGTGTGTGTTTGAGGATGCGGTCGTACGTGCTAGTAGTCAACATCTGCTGACAATTTATTAACAAAATATGTAGGAACAAAGCTTTATGCATTTGGCAGTTGTCATGTCTGTCTACTTAATAAGCAGTGTAGTAAATTTTATGATTACACATATCTAATACATTTATATACTCTTCTAAGGAATATTAGATTGTTTCCTTTTGAAAGGTTGGGTTTACACCCTTATAGATTTATAAGTGATTACTACAATTTCAAAGCAATTTCCTGGGGAAAAACAATCAAAATTGGATGCCCTCAAATATAATCATATAACCATTTGATATGCTTTAAAAAAAATAATTTCAGATATCAGTACTACTGTGTACTACAATATTTCAAGTGCGGTATATATCCCAATTTCGAAAATAACACTACAACTCTTATATTAAAAAAATATAATGGTTTATTTTGAATCAAATATAATAAAAGGAGATATTGTAAAATTTTCCGTTTGTACGTTCAGACTTAAAAGCTAATTATGTATTCTGTAGGTAAAAAATTATGGCGTGCCATAGACAGTAACATTGCTGTTGATACCAAAGCTGCGTTGTGACGTAAATGTTAGGGTGATGGTGGCTGAATTTAGCGCACCACCTGTAATTGCAATTGTGGGACTCATTCTCACAGGCTTCCTGTCTCTTATTCTGATGCCTACGACCGTTGCTGTTGTGGAGGCACCCTAAAAATTATATTTAATTTAAAAAAAAAAATTAACTCAATATATAACTAATTAAATTAAAATAAATAATTAAAAATGTATAAAAAAACTAATAAAATTAAAAAAAAAATAAGTTTAACTATAATTAACTAATTAATTAAAATTGAAATTAATATTAAAATTTAATTTTAAACTAAAATTGCAATTGAGTATGCGATAAAAATAAATATTGTTCAGATTTAATTACCACCAGATATTCTTTAGAGTGGTTATTCCCGAACGGGTGTGATATTTGCAGCTCTTAAAAAATTACGCCAGAACTTTTTTATTATAAATAAATTAATGGTTTATTTTGTATTAAGTACAATACAAGGAGATATTGCAAAATTCTCCTTTTGTACAATCATACTAAAAAACTAATTATATATTTATTTAACATAAGAAACGAAAAAAAATTATGGCGTTCCATAGACAGTAATTTGGCTGTTGATACCAAGGCTGCGCTGTGACGTTAATGTTATGGTAGCAGTGGCTGAATTCAGTGCACCACTTGTTATTGCAACTGCGGGAGTTTTACTCGCAGGCCTGTTGTCACTTATTCTGATGCCTACGACGGTAGCTGTTGCGGAGGCACCCTAAAAATTAAATTGAATTTAAAACTTACATTGATATAAGCAAAAAAAAAAAAAAAAAATTCAATTAATTAATAAAAAAATTTAGTTAACTAATTAAAATTATAAGTAAAAATAATTAAAATTATATTGAAATTGAATGGAGTTTAAAATTGAATGGAATTTAAAAAAATTTTAAAATTTAGGTACAGTTATAAATAATTAATTAGTTCAAATTGAAATAACTTTTAATAAGTGACTCGAAACTAAAATTAAAATTAAAATTAAATTAAAAAGAATCAAATTGAAACTAAAAAATAAAACTAAAACTTATTATGAAATTAAAAGTATGGTTAAATTTGAAATGGAAATAAAATCAAAAATAAAATTAAAAAAGAATTCAAATTAAATTTTAAATTCAAACTATGCTTATTTAATTAAGACACGAAAAAGGTTAAATTCAGTTATACCGGAGTTAGAATACCCCTCACAAATAAAAAAGCTTCATTGTAGCTCTTTGCTATAGTGTTTCGATATTGCCTGTTTCGACAAATGAGCAGCTTCTTGAGGAGACTTGGTGGCTTGCTTAACATGCGAAATAAGAAAAATTTAAATGGAAAATTAATTGTAAAAAAATTAGTTTGAATTTCAACTAACGATTCTGAAATAAAAATAATAATAATTCAATATATATCAAGCTATAATTATATTATATATATCAATTATAAATTTAAAAAATAAATAAATAAAGTAAAAAGCGAAAATATAAAAAAATGTATACGCATATATAAGCAAACATGGTCAATTTAAATTAATTTTTTAAACTAAACTCTGTTCGCTTACCGTAAATACATAAGTAGCCGTCACCACTTGGCCCAAACGAAAGCGTTGTTGCACTGTAGTCATGGCCAATATTGAATCAGTTGGCGTAATTACACCAATCACTTGGTCAACGGCATTCGAGTTGGCTATTATGACGGCCGCAAATATTAAAACAGCAAAAACTGCTTTCATTTTGTTAAAGCGAAATACTTCAAAAGTGAAAAAATTAAAAATTAACTTGTGTGATTTTAAATTACGTCGCCCGCACTTTATAATTGCGCTAAAACACCGGCGATGTGTTGATGTGGCCTTTTTTGCCTTCACTTGTCAACTGTGTCATTTGCCATCAGATGCTACACATTTTATACCAAAAAAGTTCGTTCTTGATATTTATGATTATAAGCCTTTCAAGAACTTTTGTTAGATATTTATGACTGTTGGCAATATGACCCAATAACCCATTTAACGCTTATTACATCACTTTACCACATCTACTATCTTGCTACAGAGTGAATGTTGCGAAAAAGTGTAACTATTTGGGTTTTGGTTGCACAAGTCGAGACATTGAAATGTTGCATAATGGCCTTTTTAGATGATTAGAAAAACTAATATTAGTTAGTTCTTTCGTTTGAGTATCTTATCTACTGATTGATACGCGCTGCGTTTGAACCAGTCAAAAAGTATGTACTCAAGAATATGAAATTGAATTATACGTTAACACTTTTTGATTTCGGCTCGTAGAGGAAGAGACAATAGAGTTAATAGATCATTCTGGATAATATCATAATGAAGTATTAACTTCGCCACCTTGACGAAGAGACAAACTCTACATCAACTTCTGGACATATCTTCCATCGATTTTTCACAGGACGAAGAAGGGCTGAAAACTGTTATAGAGTTAGATTGCATATTGAATAGTTTAGGAACCTTTGGGTGAAAGTAATACAGGCTCGCCATTAGTGGATATTGACTTCCACGAATATATGACGACTCTTAAAGTGAAGACTAGAAATCTTAAATGTGATATTAAGAAATACCCTACATTCTGATTTTTAATTTAATAGCTACTTATATTACCATCAGTTTCCTATAGCCGTTAAAGCCAAACAAAGCTAACCACTTTTGTTAAGAGGAACATGTGTGAAGAGAAATTATAAAGAGAATAACCTTTACTTTCACAAAAATTCAGTTACGAAAGTGTTCTGGAACAAAATATAGCTTCAAAATTATAACCGCTTTTGAAATAAAATATGTTATTTATGTTTTTTTCTTAATTTTGGGCGCTATATTAACGTGAATATATATTTCGATTTCATATTAAATACAAGAATGGCATCGATGCTTCCACAACTTTTGTGTGCGGAGATACTCTTAGACATCAAATCCATTAAAAGGGTCGGATTACTTTTTTTTCACAATTGAAATTTTGCTCACTGTCCATAGAAATCAATAGTAAAGTGATAACCATGACCACGTTGACTTTTTAGATGTATAACTGCAAAATCCATTCCTGGTCCACCGCTTTTCAATGATGCATAGCCACCATCGCCGTCAGTATAAATATCTGTCACGACAATTTGGGTAATCGTACGAGGATGAACAATATTATCAGTCTAAACAGAGATAAAGTCATAATTAATAAAAATATATAATTTTTTTCAACATAAAACAGAAACAGAATTACGAAAACAGAAACTGAAAAAAACTGAAAACAGAAAATGAACAAAAACAGAAATTATAAAAATATAATTTTTTGAACTGATTTATATAAAATACCTAAAATGATAAAAATACAATTAAGTAAAAATGAAACAGAAACTTATGTTTATGAAAACAAAAATTTGTTAAATATAATTGATAAACAGAAACAGAAATTATGATAACGCGGTTTTAAATTTAATTTTTAAGTTTATCAAATAAAAATGTTCATTTATCAAAATGGAAGTGAATAACAGAAATAAAGCGTAAGTGAAAACAGAAATTAGGTCAAAACACAAAACTAATTGAGTTATAAATAAACGACTAAATGTATATGTATTGGCTTACCTTTTGTCTGAATTCATAATCACTCGATACCACGCGCAACGGTTTGAACGTATCTTTCACTATCTCACGCTTAATGAGTACGTCACGTGAGCTACGTGTACCCCAAACTTCATTATGACTCTCCGGTATTGTTGCCGGCTCCACGAACACATTCTCGCTCAAGCCCATGACAATGCAAAGCAAAAGCAAAATTTTACGCATATTTTTTTCAGTTATGCGTACTTAATTGATAAATATGGGAAACTCAATACAAATAAAGCAATAGAACACCACAAAAAATTTTCAAAACCGGTTTAGTTGCTTCTTTCGAGCTTAGAGCGATACTAAATCAAGTGTAATTCGCAGCGCCAACTTGAAGCTGCTACAAAGAGAAATTCGCAAAGCTTATCAAAACAAACTAAGCGAAAATTGGACGTGTAAGGAATTTCGAAAAAAGTGACAACAAAAACCGCATTGTGTGTGAATTATTTTCGAGAGACTACGCGAATTCCACAGTTAGGCGCGAGAATTAATACATAAAAGTTTTGCGTTGAAAGTATTTGCATACAAATTAAACGCCCACAATTTGGTTGAGAATGAATCTTAAATAGCGCTTGAATTTGTTATTGTATAGGCTTTATAACAATAGAAGAGAAAATATTGAATACTTATTTATATACATATGTCAATAAAATCAAACTAGCTGACCAGCTCTTGGTGCTGAAGGGTTATACGCCATAATTATTTAAATATAATTAACATTTTTATTTTTAGTTCTTTAAATTATTTTATGTGTCAATTAACGATTTCAATTTAAAAGTCCATTATGTGACATTAAAGCATCACGAACTTTAACCCACCAGCCATTACCAGCATGCTTCTAATGATTGTGTTGTCACCTAATACGCCTTGTGTGTGGCCATAAATTCAAGTTTAACATTGATAAATTTGTTCACTTGCAACGCAGCGCCAACGCATCTGTTATCTGTAGTACACTTAAAAACTCACGCATGCACACACACGCACACTTACACATGGTTGAAATCATATTTACTGGCGCCACGCCTATCACAGGAAACCAGAATGTCAAACATAAATTTAATTTCTCAAACAAGTGTCATTTCTTTTGCCCTACGAGCAGCAGTAATTAATTTCCATAAAGCAGAAAGAATGAGCTATACGCTACAAAGCTTTATAAACCCACTTAGATGTCCTCACAAAATTAAAAAATCTAAATTTGGAAAAAAAACTCTTAAAGTCTACGACAACTTGAAAGAAATTTATAAAAATTCATTAACTCTAATCGGATTCATGCTGATAGCGCCGAGAGCTAGAGAGAGCAAATTAAATTAAAAATTGTATGTTAAAAAATAATCACACCATCACGAACATACATGCATGAGCATACAAATTTATTTAACCCTGTAGGAAAGTGTATAAGCACACTAAATCTCATTACTAGTTCTTCGTTTTTGCTCCATTTCGCAATAATATTAATTCACTGGTTATATAATTTCGAACTAGTAGGCTGGATTATGCTTTGAATATAATCGCCGAAATGGAGATGAAATTCGTTAATCTAAGGTTTACGGTGGCAACGGCTTTTTAACAAAGATCTAATACAATAATGTAGATAGAGTCTAAAATACATATTCTTATTATAATGATAGATGACCAAAGTTCTTAGGGTTCATCTTTTCAACCATGCTGAGGGGGAGAAGATTACTCGTAAAGAGGTTCGGGAGGAGTAAATGTTCGTTAGTAAATTCACAACTGATCTCCATCTCGTTCCCTAACTCGTTTCTGGTGGACAATATTCCTTTTCTTGGGAACTCATCAATTCCGTGCGAACCTGGCCACGCATCCAAACTGGACTTAACTTGAAATAGCTTTATTTCAATGATAATGACGTGGGTATGAACTAAGGAAGGTCGTACGACTCGTCCTTAGTTCAAGTAACCATATGTTGAAGTGTTGAGATCATATAGTTATAATATTTATAAGTTTCGATCACAACGCGGTTCAAATCTGTAGCTAGCAGTTTGAAACATTAACTGTTCTTCGAATATTTACAGTTGTTCAATAACTGCTACGAATTTCCTACAGGTATTGCGACACACATAATACATTTGAACATAAACCTTTTAGTCTGATCATAATAAATTTCATTGGATGCACGTAATACTTATGATAATTCAATATTTGAGATAATACAAATATGTAAAAAAAAAATTATAGTATCTGTGCTTATGCGTTGACAATGAATTAAAGTGGCTGAGATTGGCCGGTATTGAAAAAACGATTATATAAACCTTATGCTCGGAGTTATTAAAGGCAATTATTATTGTGCGATTCTTCGATTATTCGGATAACTTCGATAAGGATACCACAAATGAGAGGAAAAATTTCACTAAATATCTTTTAAAAATATAATAAACAATGAAATCTTCGCCAAAACGAGATAACATTTTTTACAATTACTTTTCGTTAAAGCCAAAAGAAATTTCTTATACATCTTTAAATAAAATTTTCGTATTTATTATCAATATACTTACCTATAACAAAATTGCTTATGGAAAAAGAGAGATATTTTAGATCACTTATTATAAAATTCAGCGTAACTACTTTCTAGATCTGGGAACATATGTTATAGTTTTCGAGCAAATTTTATTGCTCAAATCTTATATAATAGTTCCAAGACTATATGTATATTATGTTAAACGAAATTTCCTGTATAACTTTTAAGAAGTTTAAATACAACAAGTAATCATAATGGATCATCATTTCGCAAGCAGTTGCCAATTGGCGTATAATAGCGCTCAAACATAGTTTCTTGTTTGCCATACCACAATACTTGTAAATAGTCACTCTATTATGCCATCAGTTCGTTTGGAATCTTTCGATAAGTGAGCAATTTATTTACCACTCACAAATGATAAGCGGCACTTTGTTATTGTAATTGCTTTTATTGCTATCTCAGCTGCAACAAATCAAATCTAACGTCTACGAGCAGCAATTCGCTCACCAACAGAGATGCTTTCCAAGACGATTGTCATCGTCCGTTACGAGTTTTGGTCATTCACAAATGCAACAACAACAAAAATATTCTTGAAATTTCCGCTTGATTTAGTTGTCAAATTGTACGTGATTACTTGGTTCTGCATTCACTTGCATACATATCTACCAATACATATGTACATATGATATGCGTGTTTGTATGTCTTTTCCTTAGTTTACATAGAATATTTTTTTATTATTCTGATACGATTTGTTTCACTTGACATTTCCAACTGACATTTACACATTTGAAAACATTTGTCTACATAAGTCATTGGCGTGAGTTTTGTGCTTTGGTCTGTCTGCCAACGGGTCTGCCAGTTTTTTCCCGCTGGTCTCTTTGTCAATTGATTGTTCGGTTCATAATCGGCGCATATTCGTACATATGTATGTAAATGTGTTCGAGTGCATGTATTGTCTGTTGTTTACTTGTTTGACTATTGGCCCTGTCACTGCGTTTTAGATGTCAATTTTTCACTGCATTTTGGGTTGGCTTTGCTGACAGAGTTCGTGGAATTCTATGTGTAGTAAAAAAGAAGACAGGTATATACATATGTATAACTACGTATGTTTGTATATATATGTGTATATAGCCATGAAAAATTCATTTAGAAAGTGTAATCGAAAGAAATCATGACTGACTGATGAAATTTCTATCAAATGTTTTTATATAATATTTTAAACTTTGACCTTTCCCACAGAAAAATATCTGAAGTCTTCCATGAAGAAAATTTCAAAATTACTTATTGTAATGGATTTCAGATATTAAAAAATGTATCGCGAAAATGTTTCTCCGAGACTTTAAGGGCAAGTCTTTAAACTCAATATACAAAATATACGAGTTTTTGATTTTAATTGAATTATCGAAAAATAAATAATGAAAATTCTTAGTTCAAAAATGTTTCATTTACCGATATATGAGGTTTTATCACATGCCCATTTCTTCCAAAAATTAAACTTCTCTATACACAGACTATTAGTTTCATGAATAATTTATATCTCTTCTCTCCATATCGTTCCAGTTGCCTCGGCGTGAAATCACCGTTTATCCAATTCAGCAACGAAATAGAGGTGTTGGCCAACAACAGCGTTCCTCTCAATATAACCAAAGATGAGCAAGCGCTCATGCATCAGGAGGGTTTACGTAAATTGGGCACATTCATTAAGCCCGTCGATTTGCGTGACTCTACAACGGGTTTCGTGAAGGCAGATTTAACCAAAAAAATACCGAATGCCGCCGCGAGCACGAGCAGGAATACATATTATGGCGGCGGTGGCGTTGTTATGGCGCAACGCCGACGGCATCCAATACAAGAAGAAATGGATCAAAAACAAATCATTTTACTTGATGAGGATACCGATGAGAATGGTTTGCCCACAAGTTTAACAGATGAAGATCGAAAGTTCATAGTGCCGATGGCATTGAAGAACGCCTCACCAGATCCACGTACGCTTATGGCGACACAGCGTCTAATAGGCACCACAACACGTGGCACAACAACTACAAAACGGCCCACAACACCGGCCACACCAGAGTTCGCTTCGAATATTGATGATTTGAAGAAGCATATTTTATTCTTACAGAATCTTACGAAGCACGATAGCAATTTTCAATCGAAATTCGTTGTGTTTCCAAGTCTGCAGAAAGATCGCCAAAATCCAGTTTTAACGACAACAACAACAACCGCGCGTCCTTTTCGCTCGATCTTTCAGTACTCAGCGCCCGTGACACCGCCTACACGTAAATCCGCCTTTCCAAGTGGTGCGAAATTGCCCGGTGGCCAACCTTTTGGTGGCTATTATCACAACGATGATGAAGATGACGGCGGCATGTCTGTGTTTCTCTCACAAGCGGGCATGAATACGCGAGACAAGATCACTATTGTGCCACAAGTTTTATTGTTGAATGATCAAACGATCAAGAATGAAACAAGCGGTGATGGTAGTGGTGATGCGAGAGGTCGCAATGTTAATAAGACAGTAGCTGAAGTGCCACAAAATGTTGCTGTCACTACACCGACCACACCGGAAACAACAACACCTATGACCAGCACTACACCCCGACGACCTACTAAAAAGCCGTTGTGCATACGCAATCCAGATTCGCCAAAATGCATACGGCAGCGTAAGCGCGAAGAGCAACAGCGGCAGCGTCATCGCGAACAATTGCTACGCGAACAGCGTGAATATTTAAGACCGCACTATGAGCCCTACATACAGACCCTGAACAATACAAAACGTTTTGCCGTCTCCATTGAAATACCCGATTCCTTCAAGATACACTACAACAAAAGTGCGGAAACCACGACAATACCAACAATTCGTGTCGATGAAGGTGAATTGCAAGAGCTCTCGCGTTCCAAACGTTCGCATCATAAACGACGCAATATAGGTGGCGGTCAGCATGGACGTCGCGCTGGTAATAATGATAAGTTAGCTACTAAATACAGTACGAGTTATTTTGAACGTGATACCGTAATAACAGGCGCACGCGATTTCGCTGTTCCTAATGCCGATCAATTGGGCATGCCAGCGGTGAATGGTAGTACACCAATCCCCACGGTACCGGCCTATTCAGAACCAATTAATTTGAATCCAGATAACTGTTATCAAGTTGATGGCATGACTTATGGTCAGAAGAAACAATGCGTGCTGCAAACCAGTGTTATGCCGGCAATAAGTCGCGGTGCGCGAGCGGCTATACAGGTAAGTGTTTGTTTATAAAACAGCTCAGACATGTTTAACTTTATTGTGTTAATAATTAGGTGAGGAATAGATAAGCTCAGGTTTAGCCAAATATTTTATATGCTCGCAATTTTCAAAGATAAGGGCCGGAGCATATTTTCCAACGTTGGCAAAAATTAATGTTAAATATATGTTGAGAGAGATTTAAATATTAATTATTCAACGAAATTCTCAATGATATATGATATCTAACTTAAACTACAGGTCATATAATCACTAAAACCGACAACGTTTCATTAATATAGCTTAAGTGGTTTGTGCACAGTAAAGCATTAGGGGCAGCGCAAGGTGAGTACTTTTTAAACATTTTCAAACCCCAGATGCCCCTCCACAATGTGATGCCCTGCACCAATCTTAATTTGTGGCTTAGTTATAGCAATTTATAGGTTTTCACTTAATGGAATTTTGTGGGCGTTTTAACAATCGCCAGATTTCGCTCATTTCCTGTAATACCAACCTCTTTTGGGAACCAAGGATAAAGTGATATCTCAATCTTTACTCAAGTTATCACTTGCACGGATTGACGAACGCATGCACGGACAGATAGTCAACCGGAATCAAACACGACTCGTCTTCCTGATTAGTTTTATGTCTTACAAACAAACGTGAGGTGAACAAAACTATTCTACTTTGTAGCAACATGTTACAAGAGTATAAAAAAGAATATTTAAAATTGTACCCGAATGAAATTTTGTTATTCGACACCATTCGATTCGATCAAAACCGACACGATTATCGGTCATTTAATGCAAAATTTTACAAAACAATCTTCCTTCCATTTTATCACATAATATGAAAAACGATCGCTATACATGTTAATATCTCGATCGCAGCACTACCTAGCGAGTAAAATATTAAAATGCATTCACATCTTTACTTTAACCATTTTACTCTATTTATTTATTTATTTGCCATAAACAACATATGTTACATTTAAACCAAGGCCCGTTTGGGTTCTCATTTGTATAGAAGCGTAAGTCCAACCGGGACCACCAAACAGTAAAGAATTAACTGGACCCGAACTGTTCTGGAATTGGTCTTGCAAGTAAATGGCGCTAATCACTTTGCTGTTGCTCTGATTCTGCAAGTTTTAAAGCAAATATAAATGATTGATTGATTATTGTTATAATTGAGCATTTCAAGTGTCCAGAAGCAGGTCGCAGATAATTTCTTATGTAACTTACCGACTCTGGAATATCGAAAAATATAGTCTGCACAGCATTTCGTACAGCTGGGTATGTCACTCGTTTGTAAATAATTACGGTATCGGTAGTGTTGCGCACTCCCCAGGTTGAGCTCGCGGTATAAGCGACTGCGATAATGGCCAAGAGCACACAAACTTGAACAATAACTTTCATTTTGATTAATAATTTCTATCTTTGCTATATAATATCCGCTAATATACCAATTGCATGAATTGCCAAGGGTTACTGTTGTTTTTGACCAGAAATTCGCGGCTTTATATACTTCTATAAAGTTTTGATAATTACTTCTTATCAAACGTTATATTTCAAGGAATTCTACTATGGACTGATATGAAAGTATACATCAGTGTTGGTATTAGATTGTCTAATGTTTTATGGCATCTCGAAAGTAATAAATTTTTAATATTTATTATTGATTTATATATGATGTATATGATATAAATGAAAGATCTTTATCATCAAAATTTTGCAAAAAAAACTGTTTCACATTTTATCGCATTAGAAGAAAATCGCTCTTTACAATTTTTTTTTTAAATCCGATCGCAGATTTCATTTGTACACTTGCGTTACTTTAAACATTTTACTATATTTATTTATTTATTTATTTGCCATAAACAAGAATTGTTACATTTAAACCATGACCCGTTTGGGTTCTCATTTGTATAGAACCGTAAGTCCAACCAGGTCCACCAGACACCAAATAGTTAGCTGGCCCCGAACTGTTCCGGAATTGGTCTTGCAAGTAAATGGCGCTAATCACTTTGTTGTTGTTCTGATACTGCAAATATAAATTATTGATTAATTAGTGTAACAATGGATCATTCCTGAAATGAGTCTAATGACAATAAAACTTTACTGAGAAACACGTCCCAGATATTTTCTTATGTTACTTACCGACTCTGGAATATCGAAGTAGAAAGACTGCGCAACATTTCGTACAGCTGGATAGTGTACTCGTTTGTTGAGAAGTACGCTATCAGTTACATTGTGAACACCCCAGGTTGAGCTCGCGGAATAAGCCACTGCAATAATGGCCAAGAGCACACAAACTTGCATAATAACTTTCATTTTGATTAGTAATTTCTATCTTTGCTATTTGATTTCAGCTAATATACTAATTGTGTGAATAGGTAGTGACTACTGTTGATTTTGACTGAAGTGTCTTTGCTTTATATAGTTTTAGAAATTTATGATAATTACTGCTTATCAAACGTGATTTTTCTAAGAATTCTACTAAACACTGATATGTGTAATTTAAAAAATAAAAGTAGCTATCAACGCTGATATTAGATTGCCTAATATTTTATAGCATCTAGAAAATAATAAAATTTTTAAATTTATTATTGGTTTGACAGCTGTGGATTGGCCACTAAGAAGTACGTTTTCCTTATCATACACTTGAAATGCCGGAAGAAATTTATGCGGAACTTCTATATGATAACAAATTACAATATATCGAATAACCATTGCAAATGCCATACTTATTTAGGTATTTCTTGATTTAAATTTTTTTAAAGATAAGATATATATAAGACTTGCCAGTTTGCTGAACATGATCCGTCTGTACAAATTATTGTGAATTAATTAAAAAAGTAACAATAATATCGATAATTTTCTCGGAAATGTAATCTTTTAGAAATCTTAATACTTCAAAAATTTATTAATCACAATATCGTTAAGGCAAAATATATCAATCATATGCTTGCGTCTAGACCTAGCGAGGACGGGAAACTAAGCTAATGATGTTAAAAAGATTTCTTCTTATCTGCTTCTATAGTCAATATAGAGAAATGGTGTTTTTTAAATATCAAATACTATAATATGATGTCGGTTTAAAATTCAAGTCAGAGCTGAATAATGTAGTTTTAATTCAAACAGCTGCAGTTGTGGAACCAATTAAGACGGAACTGCTATTTATAAATGATGTAAATTGTAAATATAATATATTCCGAGTCCATCCCATGGACTTGAGTTTGGATCATAAATATTACTTAAATGCAAATATACCAATAATTTCTCATTATTACTTTACTAATTTTGCTTGTAAATAAAACCTAGATTTCGAACGCTAACAGCGAATGCGAGTGTTATTAGTAGTAAGTAATCCTTTTGGAATTTTTTATATCTCATGAAAAGCGCTTGAAATCATATCTTTGCCTCTTTAACCTCTTTAACTGCATACGTTTCTAAAGAGAGTTTTATCAAATAAAAATTTTAGTAATGGCTTATTTTTTGCTGCACACATTTTTGAATGCTAACCGACACCTTCGAAAATTATGTTTTGCAAGGATATTTTTACTTCGTTTCCCATGAATTTGGTGTGTTATAATTTTTGGCTCACCATATTGGCGATCTAATGTTTTTCTTCTTCTCGATGTTATGGCCATTCTCCAATGTACAGACATTTCTCTCCTTTCCAGGGTTTATATGAGGGGAGTCAGACTTCAGCTAAATAGACATATTGTTGTGAGGAGTCATAACTCCTAGGGTAAAATTTTTGAAAGTTTCAACGAAATTGCTCCCGTGTCCATTACATTGAGAATACTTTTCGCTTTTCACTTTTGGTCTTCCCACTAAAGTCAATGGTATTTAAATTTTAGCTCTGCTAGATAAGTGCTATACAAAATATACAACTCTTCCGTGCTATATTATGACATTAAGTCGCTACCGAAGCAACTAAAAGTAGAAGAAAAGAAACGATATAATAATCTCTCCATGAGAATTTATATCACTATTCAAGCTTAAAAGCTTTTATGGCCAATTGCAGTTAACTGAAAAATTCTGAAATTTAATTTAGATTCAACTTTATAATACCCAAAAGTCGAAGAGGAATGAAATAAGCACACCGACAAATGTACGAAATATTTGAAGAATAAAAAGTAGAAAAAGCCCAAAGCAAAAGGCGCACAAAGCCGCCAGACAGGTTAAGGTTACAAGCCATTAAAGAAAGCGCAGTATTTTCATATAAATAGAAAGAAGCGGCTGCTGCGGCAGCTTCGCTTGCTTGGGCACCTGCGGCCAACAAATGCAGCAGCTAAGCAGTCAGGCAGCCAGCCAGCCAGCAGAATGCATAAAGCAAACCGAAAATTTATCAGAAAAACATTCTGCAACCTGAATGCCGCTAGGCGACCAACCGAAAAAGTACAAGAAGCCAACACATACACATATTGTGGCGCAAACACCCGCGCTTGTATGAATGCGAGGCAGCGTAGTTATGCGGTAAAGGAAGACGGCAGTGAAGAAAAACAAAATTATTTCAAAAAATGAAATTACTTTTAGTTTTATTACATTAAAAACCGTCAAAGTGGATATTTTATATGGTAAACCAACATAAACAATGTGGGTGTGAGGCGCAAGCTTGCGGATGCACAGCTAGCTGCAGCGCGAGGTGGCAAACGAGGTTCAAGCGTAAAATGGTGACAGGAAAGTGCACAGATTTACTTTTACTTCCAGCTAAACAAAGAAAACAAAGCGTGGCATGCAACTGGGTGTGTATGTGTGCAAGAAAATTTTTGAATTCATGCAAGAAGGAGCTGAGCTACAGTTTAGTCTTCGCTTTGCACAAGCGTATTTTCATAATTCACTGCACCAGAATGTAAAAAGAAAAACCTGCAACAGCACAAACATATCTATGTACGAAAGCCAACGCTGCGGTATGATAGTTGCGGCACAACGAACGGACGAGTGTGCAAAGCTGCAACACGCCTCAAATAAAATATGTGGCAAACAACATAAAAATGCAAACAAAGGAAGCGCAAAGCGGGCGAGCTGTTGGGTGGGTGGTTCTGTGTTAGTGTGTGTGTGCATATGTTTGCAGGTGTTGCGGTGCAGGAAAAACTACAAAAGTTCGTATGCGGCGTTTGCGGCGGAAATGAAGCAGAAGTGCTAGTGGTTGCGTGTATGGGTGAAGCGAAGCGCGGTGAGGCATAGCAGCGGAAGCATTTCAATGACGGCTGTAGAAAGGATATCCGCTTTTGATGCTACAACCGTGCACATGCGTATGCATACATTTACGCTTATACAAATATACACATATATGGTTTTATGTGTGTATGTGTGCATGTATGCACATGTAAATTTGTTTATTCATCACATGTGCTTTGCGTGCCGCAGTGGCATGCATTTTCACTTTTTCGCTGCGCCACGTGATAATGTTGCAATCGTCGCAGCTGTAACGCAACTTTTTGCTTTACATAAAAAAGCAAATAATGCTGAAACAGAGTGCAGTGATAAGCGACAGCGTGCACATGAATAAATATGTACAAGCATAAACATGAAAGAAACATGTATGAAATTGTAACCTCTAAGTGCATTTCCCGAAATATGAATCCCGAAAATAATATTTACATTTTCGGGATCTCGAAATTTCGGTACTGATATGCTTGCATTTATAGACTAATAGTAATAGCAATGCCACTATATCTCTTGAAAATCCTGGCTCAAAATCTTTATTATAGGAATGCTATTTCAAGATCCCGAAATCATAGTTTTTGCCATATTTAATACTTTAGCTTGCAGCTTATGCTAATTAATATAAACATGTACAAGCATTTAGCGCACATACAAGAACATATGAATATTAAGTGCATTTTCGGGATCCCGAAATATGACTTCCGAAAAGATTTTTTGCACTTGCAGGATTTGCTTACATTGAAGCAATGGCACTATTTCACCTTAAAAACCCGATGAAAATCTTAATACTGCTGGTATGCTACTTTAAGTCCCCAAAAATACAGTTTATGCAATATGTAACATATAAGCATGCACATGTATGCGAATAAATATGTACATGCATACATACATATTTTCGTTGGGGGAATTTTCGTCAACCCGAAATATGAATCACGAAAATATTATTAGCAAATTCAGAATTACCGCACTTGCACTGATATGCTTGAATTAAAAGAAGAATCACAGCTGCTATTTGTTGATATCCTGAAAAATGTCGCTATTTCCGGTATATCATTTCAGGGTCCCGAAAATGCAAGCTACACTATACTAAATACTTAAGTATGTATCTATCTGATGTCTACAGACATTGCGATATGTTCATATGACATTCTATTCAAGTTAACTTCCTTTCCGTGTTGCCTACTTCGTGGCGCATGCGCTTGCTCCACTTTTAGCAGCACACATCAACGTCCATTCAAACATTCAGAGTATGTACAATATGTTATTCATTTGTGTGCGTTTAGCAGCTTCACTCCTAACTGATATTTGTTGCAAGTTGTTTTGCAATATTTTTTATTGTTGTTTATTTTGCAACTCGTTACACATACACACAAAAGACCTGGAGATTTTTAGATTTTTTTTCTTTAAAATCACGCTTGCTTCAATGTCCTTCAATACTTATTGCACATGCCGCATGGGGCACACGCTTTTCATGCGAACATAATTGTGTTGCTTGAATTGCACGTGAGTCAGCATTCACATGCACACTTGCACACGCTGGCACAGGCATATCTGGCAGCGATATTATCTAAAATTGCACGAACATTTCAATTCAGCTCAGTTCCGTTTTACACATGTAGGTCGCGGAGCAGCTGTTGCAGTCAAAAAGCACATATGTATGCGCAGTGCTTAACTTTTGTGTGTGAGATCTTAGGCACATCTTTGACTCATGCTCGTGGGATGTGTGTAAAAAGAATTTTCTTCTTTGAGACGAAGATACAAAGATAAGAATTGTCAAAGCGTCCATTGTAGTTCAGGCAATTGTTAGCATATCTTATATTAGAGGTAGGTGTTCTATTAAAGTAGGGGAACTCATATAGCGAAAAG